ATCTTCACTCTTTTTCGCTTTCTTTTTCTGCTGATTGGATGAGTCCCACTGCCCTGTCTTTGAGTTCACTAATCTTTTCTTCCACTTCATCTAGTCTGCTGTTGAATCCTTCTATTGTATTTTTTTTAGTTCAGTTATTGTATTCTTCAGTTCTGTAATTTTTGTTTGGTACTTTCTTATATTTTCTGTCTCTTAGTTGAAATTGTTACTTTGTTCATGCATTATTCTCCTGACCCCAATGAGCATCTTTATGACGTTATTTTGAACTCTTTATCAGGTAAATCATGTATCTCTATTTCATCAAGATGTTTTTCTGAGGTTTTATCTTTTTTTAAAAAAATTAATTAACTATTTATTTATTTGAGGAAGATTAGCCCTGAGCTAACTTCTGCCAGTCCTCCTCTTTTTGCTGAGGAAGACTGGCCCTGAGCTAACATCCGTGCCCCTCTTCCTCCAGTTTATATGTGGGATGCCTACCACAGCATGGCTTACCAAGTGGTGCCATGTCCGCACCTGGGATCTGAACTGACGAACCCTGGGCTGCCGAAGCATAACGTGCACACTTAACCACTGTGCCACGGGGCTGGCCCCATGAGGTTTTATCTTGTTCTTTTGTTTGGAACATATTCCTTTGTTTCTTCATTTTCTTTGACTCTCTCTGTTGGTTTCTATACATTAGATAAGACAGCCAGTCTTGAAGGAGTGGCCTGGAGATGAACCTTATTGTTTAGCCCTTCCCTAGTTCTTGGTTGTCTCTCAAACCTTTTTGGTTGTGCAAGCAGCCTACTTTGTACTTAGTGGCTCCTGGTAGTTGAGGGTGTGCCAAAACTTGTCACTGTCCCAGAGGAGAGAATCTCAGTCTGTACCTTGATTCAGCCTGCTTGGACGCCAGACCCTCAAGCAGCAGCTTTTAAAGTGGGCAAATATACGTCTTTCAGGGGAAGACTGGAAAATGGAAGTTTCTGTTTGCTCCTTCTGCACTGAGCCTTGGGGTAATAGACAGTTAAGAACTGTTACTTTGTTTGCTACTGTCCTGTTGAACCATGAATACAAGCCCCACTAGGCACCTGCTTTTAATTGTTTTGGGTCCATACCCGGAGTGGAATTGCTGGATCATATGGTAATTCTATTTTTACTTTTCTGTGGAACCACTATACTGTTTTCCATCACAGCTGCACCATTTAACATTCCTACCGACAGCGCATAAGTTTCCAAATTGTGCCTACACTTGTTGTGCAACACTTGTTCTTTTTTTTTTTTTTTTTTGGTAAGGAAGATTTGCTCTGAGCTGACATCTGTTGCCAGTCTTCCTCTTTTTTTGGCTTGAGGAACATTATCCCTGAGCTAACATCTGTGCCACTCTTCCTCCATTTTGTATGTGGGGTGCCTCCACAGCCTGGCTAATGAGTGGAACAGGTTCATGCCTGGGGATCTGAACCCATGAACCTGGGCTGCCGAAGTGGAGCATGTGGAACTTTAAGCATTTGGCCACAGGGCTAGCCCCTTATTTTCTGTTTGTTTAATAGTAGCCATCCTAATGGCTATGAAGTGGTATCTCATTGTAGTTTTTCTCTCCCTCTCTTTTTTATTGTGTTAAAATACACCTAACATAAAATGGACCATCTTAACCGTGTTTTAAGTGTGCAGTTGAGTGGTGTTAAACACATTCACGCTGTTGTGCAGCCGTCACCACCATCCATCCTCATAACTCTTTTCATCTTGTAGAATTGAAACCCTCTACAGGTATACCTCGTTTTATTGTCCTTCACTTTATTGTGCTTCACAGAGACTGTGTTTTCACAAGACCCCCCACCAGCAAAAAGATTATGACATGCTGAAGGCTCAGGTGATGGTTAGTATTTTTTAGTAATAAAGTATTTTTTAATTAAGGTATGTATATTGTGTTTTCAGACATAATGCTATTGTACACTTAATAGATTACAATACAGTGTAAACATAACTTTTATATGCACTGGGAAACCAAAAAAAATCATGAGACTTGCTTTTTTGTGATACTCACTTTATTTCAGTGGTCTGGAACTGAACCCACAATATCTCTGAGGAATGCCTGTACCTATTAAACAATAAATCTCCATTCTCCCCTACCCCAGCGACCACCATTCTGCTTTCTGGCTCTATGATTTTGACTCTTCTAGGTACCTCATATAGGTGGATCACACAGCATTTGTCCTTTTGTGACTGGCTTATTTCACCTTACATAATGCCCTCAGGGTTCATTCATGTTGCAGCACATGTCAGAATTTCCTTCCTTGTTAAGGCTGAATAATACTCCCTTGTATATATATATATATATATATATATATATATATACAACATTTTGCTTATCCATTCATCCATTGATGGATACTTAGGTCGCTTCCATGTTTTAGCTACTGTGAACAACGCCGCTATGAATATGGATGTATAAACGTCTCTTTGAGACCCTGCTTTCAATTCATTTGGGTATATACCCAGAAGTGGAATTGTTGGGTCATACAGTAATTCTATTTTTAATTTTTTGAGGAATCTCCATGCTGTTTTCCACAGTGGCTGTACCATTTTATATTCCCACCAACAGTGCACAAGAGTTCCACTTTCTCTACATCCTTGCCAGTGCTTCTTGTTTTCTGTTTATTTGATGGTAACCATCCTAATGGGGGTGAGGTGGTATCTTTGTGTAGTTTTAATTTGAATTTCCCTAATGATTAGTGATGTTGAGCAAATATTTTTATGAGCTTATTGGCAATTTGTATATCTTCTTTGGAGAAATGTCTGTTCAAGTCCTTTGCCCATTTTTTAATTGAGTTGTTTGTTTTTTGTTGTTGAGCTTTAGGAGTTCCTTATATATTATTCATATTAACACCTGGATATATATCTGGATATAAATCAGATATATGATTTACAAATGTTTCCTCCCATTCTGTGGCTTGCCTTTTTACTCTGTTGATTGTATCTTTTTCTCTTTTGAAGATTGACACCTGAGCTAACATCTGTTACATCTGTTGCCAAGCTTCTTTTATTTTTTCTTCTTCTTCTCCTCAAAGCCCCCCAGTACATAGTTGTATATTCCAGTTGTGAGTGCCTCTTGTTGTGCGATGTGGGATGCCACCTCAGCATGGCCTGATGAGTGGTGCCATGTCCATGCCCGGGATCCAAACTGGCAAAACCCCGAGCCGCTGAAGCAGAGGGCACAAACTTAACCACTTGGCCACGGGACCGGCCCCTGATTGTGTCTTTTGGTGCACAGAAGTTTTTAATTTTGATATAGTTCAATTTGTCTATTTTTTCTTTTATTGCTTGTGCTTTTGGTGACTTATGCAAGAAATCATTGCCAAATTCAATGTCATGAAGCTTTTCCCTTATGTTTTATTCTAAGAGTTTTATAGTCTTAGCTCTTACGCTTAGATCTTCAATCCTTTTGAGTTAATTTTGTACATGGTATAAGGTAAGGATCCAACTTCGCTGTTTTGCATGTGGATATCCAGTTTCCCAGTACCATTTGTTGAAAACACTGTCCTTTCTCCATTGAATGTTTTGGCACCCTCGTTGAAACCATTTGACCAGATATGTGAGGATTTATTTCTGGGCTTTCTGTTCTATTCCATTGGTTTAAATGTCTGTCTTTATGTCAGTACTGTACCATTTTGATTACTATAGGTTTGTAATAACTTCAAAGGCTTGAAATTGGGAAGTGTGAGAATTCCAACTTTGTTCTTCTTTTTTCAAGATTGTTTTGGCTATTAGGGGATCCCTTGAGATTCCATATGAATTTTAGGACGGGTTTTTCTAGTTCTGCAGAAATGCTGTTAGGATTTTGATAGAGATTGCATCAAATCGATAGTTCACTTTGGGTGGTATTGACATCTTAACAATATTGTCTTCCAATCCGTGTCCATGGGACGTTCCTCTTATTTATGTCTTCTTTAATTTCTTTCAGCAACATTTTGTAGTTTTCAGGGTACAAGTCTTCTGCCTCCATGGATAAGTTTATTCCTAAGTATTTTATTCATTTTGATGCTGTTGTAAATGGGATTTTCTTAATTTCCTTTTCAGATTGTTCATTGTTAGTGTACAGATATGCAATGGATTTTGACTGATTTTGTATCTTGCAGCTTTGCTGAATTCCTTTATTAGTTCTAACTAATAACAATAGGTCTTTTTGGTCTATCTTTAAGGTTTTCTACTTATAAGATCATGCCATCGGCAAACAGAGATCATTTTACTACTTCCTTTCCAATTTGGATGCCTTTTCTTTCTTTCTTTTTTTGCCTAATTGCTCGAGTTAGGACTTCTAATACAGTGTTGAATAGAAGTGGTAAAAGCGAGCATCTTTGCCTTGTTCCTGATCTTAGAGGGAAAGCTTTCAGACTTTCACACTGAGTATGATGTTATATGCTTTCATATATGACCTTTATTATTTTGAGGTCGTTTCCTTCGATTCCTAGTTTGTTGAGACACCACGTTTGCCTTTTCCTTTTTCCTCTGTCCTCAATCCAGATGGAGACCAGCCTGTCACCTTCCTTCATGTAACAACCCTTCCTGCATTTTAGGCTGGATGCCTGAAAGAAGGGAGCTTTGATTTTCCTTCTTCAGAGAATTTGCCTGTGGTTCTCTTCCTCTTTCCATTAATTTACCCACTCACAACACAAACCTTTGCTGAGGCTGCACTGCGTGTCAGGCTTGGGCAAGCCGCTTTCCTGCCTTGCGAGGGTTCACACACGCTGCCTCAGTCTTCACAGGAACCATCTGAAACAAGAAGGACTTCTGTGTCCACATTGAGAAGCAGAGGTATAGAGGGACTTGCCCAAGGCAGAGCCAGCTCTGAAGACTCCTTGCCCTAATGTATTAATCCCAAGCTGCTGCTGTTTCTGTGTCCGGCCCTTAAGCCACGTTGCTGGCCCCTGGATGAGTGCCTCCTGTCCTTCCTGAGCTGGCTCTGATGGAGGTGGAAAGGGCCCAGGTGCAATCCTGAAGTCTGCTTTCTTTTCTTGCATTCACAGAGGTCCTGGGCCTATGTCAAGAAGTGCCAAAACAACATGTGTCCAAATCAGGGCTTGGTGACTCAGCTGTTGGAGTGGGAGAAGATCGTCCTTGGAGACTTGGTCACAGACATCAAGGATCTCTACTGATCTTCTCTGTGGCCCAGCTATGGGTCCTGAAGAACCTTGGTTGGGGGCATGTTGTGTATAGTGGGCCAAAGGCAGTAACCAGGTTGCTGTGGAAGGAGAAGGCCTCTGCTGCCCAGAACCTCATGTCAGCCTCCTGCAGTGGTTCTTCCCAGGCTCCTCCTTCACACCACACAGCAGGTGCAGTCTGCTCGGACTCAGCGACTGCCCCCATCCCTGGGGCATTCTGGACCACCCCCACTGCATTGCACTCACCCCGCCCACTGCACTCCTGAGGCTGCCTCTGGAAGGCTGCCAGAGCAGCTGCCCCATGTGCCCCCATGACTTGGAGGCTGCTTGGGGGGAGCTCCAGGGGTTCCCACCTTGTGCTGGTCCATAGGGGGTGTCACAGTACTCGCCCATGAGTGGAGAACCCCCAGCCCCAGCCTAGGCCCTGGCCCCAGGCTCCACGGCTCTGAGAGGCTCCTGGCACAAGCCCACAGCCTTGCCTCATCCCCTGCCCGCCTCAAACGGAAGCCCAAGTCCTCAAGGAGTGGGTTTTTGCCAGAGGGGTAAGGGTTTTTCAGGCAGCACGGGCTTTATTCGGGGTCTGAGCTGGGACAGAGCCTAGGGATGGCTGCAGAGCAACGGCTGTCGGTTAGGGAGCTCCTGGTAGGCAGGGCAGAGCCGTTGGAAAGTTTTGGGCAGGGACATGGTGGGGATTAGTCTTCTGTTTTAGGAAGGGCCGTCTGGTGGCTGTGTGAAGGGACAGTAGCGGTGAGCCTGAGGCAGAGAGACAGTAAGGTGGCTGCTATAAAAATCCAGGCGAGAGAAGAGGCTCGTAATCCCGTCCCCGCAGAGGCGCCACTTCCCAAGGGCGAAAGTGTTTGAGGCAGGTGTCACCTCCCTGGGCCTTGGTTTACTTCCAGCCTGACGGGCAAGGGCACCGCCAGCTGCACCAAGGGGTTGGCGCGACCCGTGTAGCCGAGAGATGGGCCGCCACCGCCCCAGCCCGGGCGGGGAGTAGCGGGGCGGGGAGTAGAGAGGCTAGCGGCCTTAGGCACACGTGGCCCCGCCCCGGGGCCGCCCCGGGCGCTGATTGGCTCAGGCGGAGGGCGGGACCAGCGCGTTCGCGGCTCGAGGCCTTTTCCTATTGGTGGTCGCGGCGGCGCGAGCCCGGAAGCGGGCGGGGGTGGCGGCGGAGGCGGGGGCTCCTCGGACCGCGGAGGTTGCGGCGCTGTCCTCCAGTCGCGGCTTGTCCGGCGCGTGGCCCGGCAGCCATGCAGCCCCCGCCCCCGGGCCCGCTGGGCGACTGCCTGCGGGACTGGGAGGAGCTTCAGCAGGACTTCCAGAGCATCCAGGTGAGCGCCAATGCGGGCGCCCATTGGTCTCCAGCTTCGTCTGTCTGGCTCGAGGTCAAGGGTCGGGCAGCCCCAGGTCAGGCAGCGGGGAGCTCGGGGTCAGGGGTCGGGGACCCTGGCGTCGTTCCCGAGGGCGGCGAGGCCCCGGGTCCCGGTGTCGCCGGCTGGACCCTCTTCTCGGCCCCAGATGAGTGTCCGGTCGCGGCGCCCTTCTGCCGCGCGGCCGCCGCGACCCCGGCGGGACCCCACTGCGCCAGGCGGACTCGGGCCTCTCGCCGGGGCCTTGGAGAGCGGCCGCCGGAGTCAGAGCTGGCCCGGCCCAGTCTTGGGGCGGTCGCTCAGCCGGCGTGCCGTGGGCGCCGACCGGCCGGAGCCGCGAGCAGCGCGTCCCCGCCCTCGGGCAGCGGTCTGGGCTCAGTGCGGCCAGGGGAAGTGGTGGTGAGGTGAAGTCCCGGCCTGGATGGGGGCCGGGCCTGGCCGGTCCAGGATGAAGGACAGCGCCCACGAAGACAGGACCATGTGGCTGCTGCACAGAGAAGGAGGGGCGAAGTGGGCTGGCCAGACTCTGCAGGAACCTCAGGGGCCTGGCCGGGACTGGGGTCTCTCTGAGGCCAGTGGGGAGCCACGGGAGGATTGTCTGCACCTCACTCGTATGGGCCACTGTGCTGTTCTGGGGGAAGGCCAGGGAGGAGGAAGCTGCTGGCCCCCGGCGACAGGAGATGGTGGTGGCTTGGGTGGGCAGAGGTGGCACAAGCTGGGTTCTGAGGGGGTGTGGTGGCTCTTCCTGGGCATGAGAAACAAGACCCAGACAAGGTAGAGCCCAGGCCAGCTGGGCACTTGATCAGGGCTTGCCTCTCCTGGTCTGGTGCCAGTCCCTTCCTGTCCGCATTGAAGCCCAGCTGCCCCCTGGCCTGGCCACGCCTGCTGCGGTTAGCGCTGCTGCCCAGAGTCCTGGGCAGAGCAGACCAAGTCTCCCCACCTGGCCACCACTGTCCTGGCCTCGGCCCCTGCCTCATCTTCCTCACACCGCCCCTTGCCCAATCTCCAGGCTGCTTCTCGAGATTCACCCACCAGGGCAAAGTGCTCTGGGAAGCCTTAGGCCAAAGGTGCTGGGGGAGGGGTAGAGGGGCTAGCCTTATAGCAGGAAGTCCAAGGGCGGAAGCCTGATGACCTTTAAGCTGGAAGCAAGATTCTGGGAGTGCTGGAGCAGAGGGCATCTTGGATACATTCAACTGCCCCCCGCTCTTGCAGGCTGGCTGGGCAGGAGGGTCTGAGAGGGCAGGGGTGGCTTCAGGCAGCCTGCCTGGTCCAGAAGGTGGACCTGTGGGCCTGGAGTCCAGACTCAGGGTAGGGAGAGAGCAGAGGAACAACTAGTAGATGGGTTGAGGCTGAGAAAACCTTCAGGGAACTAGCCTGTTTCTGGGAGAGGGGTGCCGCGGGGGCTTCTGGGCTTGCAAGAAGAACCCTATCTCCTTGCCTGCCTTGGGGAGAGAGCACCCTCAGGGAGGTCCCTGGGCTGGCACAGCTGGCTGCCTCCTTTCCTGCTCAGACCCTCTCAAGGAGCCCTGGGGGCGTTCCTGCCCAGCAGGCTCTGGCTCAGGGGCTTCACAGTCAGCCCAAGCCTTCCCCCAACCCGGTCCCCAGGAGACCCACCGGCTGTACCGCCTGAAGCTGGAGGAGCTGACCAAGCTGCAGAACAGCTGTACCGGCTCCATCACTCGACAGAAGAAACGGCTCCAGGAGCTGGTCCTCCTCCTGAAGAAGTTAGGACCCCCCCCTCAAGCTCCCGCATACCGCCCTAGCCTTGGGCTGGGAGTAGCTGGCTGGTCTGGTGGGGTGGACGGCTGGTGCTGACTCCTGGAGCGAACCTGGGCATGGCTTCTCCCGTTTGCCCTCCTGCCCCACCCGTGTCAGGTGTGATACCTGGTGTCTCCTGCTCTGACTCAGGCTTCTGGCCCCACCTGCAGATGCAAATCTTCCCTCCCGTCGGGGGCTGAGGAGGCCGCCCAGGAGCTGGAGAACCAGATCAAGGAGCGCCAAGGTCTCTTCTTCGACATGGAGGCCTATTTGCCCAAGAAGAATGGGTGAGACCCCTCGCCCAAGCTCAGTTCACAGCCACTCCTGGGAGAGAGGCCTGAAGCCCTGTCTTCCTCTGCTTGGTTGTTCAGTCAGCAAAGCTCCCTGGACCCACTCTGGCTGAGCACTCGGGCACAGCCCCATGTCAGGGGAGACAGCCCGAGCGACAGTGATGGCTCGCCACGATGAGTGCTTTGTGGGGGTATACGGGGAATGGGGGAGCCCAGTGAGGCCCCTAACCCAGCCCAGGAGGTCAGAGAGAGCCTCCTGGAGTGAGTGGTGCCTGAGCCAAGTGTAAAGAATAAAGGGGTGAGCGGGGCAGACACAGGAAGGTGATGGCCAGAGCTCAGCATGGGAGGTGAGAGGTCACAGTAAGACCACAGGGGGAGCCAGGCTGCAGAGTTTGCCTCAGCCCGGTAGGCGGGGGACAGTGACAGGTCAGATATGCACTTAGATCAGCCCTAGTCACCCAGGAGGATGGGTAGGGGACAGGGCAGGACCCTAGGCTGAGCGAAAAACATCCAGCAGAGACTGCAGGCAGTGGGAGAGTGCAACAGGGAGAGAGCATGTCCCACAAGGCAAGGAAAGAAGGCGTGGTCAGTGGCCTCAGATCAGACGGCCCAGCGGGGTCGAATGTCATAAGGAAGGGGAAATGTTTCACTGGAAGTTGGGCTGACCCAGGATGGTGTTGGTGGAAGTGGATGTTGGGGATGACAGGAGAGCCGAGCAGGCAGCCAAGTTTAGGCCACTCTTCAGAAACTTGGCTGTGAGTGGAAGCAGAAACTAGTAACTAGAAACTGGTCACTAAAACTTGGCACGAGGGTTTCGGGGCATGTGTAGGTGTGTGTTTAGGTTTGTTTGCACACAGGAAAGACTTGGGCATCTCTACTGCTGAGAGGTGGGGCCAGCAGAGGGGAGAGACCCAGGAAAGGGGTGCTAAGCGATGGAGGGAAGTCCCTGGGGAGATGGGCTGGGCTGGGCCAGGCCCTTCCTCTTTGGGATGGGAGGCGGCAGGCGGGGAGATGTTGGCTGCTGGAGGGACACGGGATGGAGGGTTTGCAGGAGAGGGTTGGATGAGGCCATCGCTGGGAATGGGATAGGGAGCTAGCGGCGATGGGGAGAGGCAGCCTGGCAACCTGGTTGGAGTCCCGCCGTGCCCGAGTCCCTTTGCACCCTTGGGCAAGTCCCCTAACCACTCTGAGCTGGTCCATGTGGCTTGAGTGTGAACAAGAGCCCCTGTGTGGGTGCAGCTGCCTGTACATGGCTGACTTTCGGGTCACCTCTCAGAGTTTCCCTGGCAGAGAAGGAAGAGATGAGCTTTGTTGGTGGGTGTGATGGCAGTGCAAGGAGCTGGGAGTCACGGGGTTGGCAAGAAAGTGGTTGACATGTGAAGGAGGGTGTGGGGACTCAGCTGGCTCAGGAAAGGAGAGCAGTCAGGAGGGCCTGGAAGCCTCAGGGAGGGGAGGGTCCAAGTGGTGGAATGGTCCTGGCAGGTGGGCGCTTGGGGTCAGAATACAACCAGCTTCTGAGGAGGCCATTCTGGGTTGGGAGGAGGTCCTGGGGTGGCTGCGGACGTGGGTTGCTGCAGTGAACTCAGGGCTGAGGGTGCTCGAAGTGGCAGGAACTGTAGGGTAGGTGATAGATGGTGATCATGCACAGGGGCGTTGAGTCCACTGCCCAGGCGATCTGAGATGTGGGCACAGCTTCCGAGGGGTGGGGGGAGAGCCAGGCTGCCCTTGAGGCCCTGAGGTGGGGGAGCTTGGGGGCAGAGGAGGGAGGGAGGGGAGGTCAGTGTGCCCTGGAGCAGGATTTGGGAGCAGGCAGGGAGAAAGGCCGGGCATCAGTGTTTCCCATGCAGTTGGTCTGTACATCCCCAAGGTCAGAACTCAAAGCCAAGGCCATGGGAAGGCTGGGTGGGGTGGTGACCCGGATCTTGGCCAGGCCTGGCCCACCTGGCGGGCTCTGTGTCCTTTGGCTTCCCTCTCAGTCAGAGCCTCTCCTCACCTGGTCTCTCCCCTCCACCTCCCCCCAATAGGTTGTACCTGAGCCTGGTTCTGGGCAACGTCAACGTGACCCTCCTGAGCAAGCAGGCTAAGTAATTTGTAGTGGGCTGGGTCTCAACCCTGCTCTCCCGGGTCCTTTCCATTCTGCCCCAGCTTCCCTGGCTAAGCCTTGGGGTTCAGGGACTGCTCCCCCGTGCTGGTTCCATGCCACCCACAGAAGTGTGTCCAGAGCAGGAGCCTCTCTCCTTGGGCGGAGGCGAGGGTGGGCGCCACCAGCACTTCAGACTGTCCCATGAGCGTGTGCCCACCCCAGGTTCGCCTACAAAGACGAGTACGAGAAGTTCAAGCTCTACCTCACCATCATCCTCATCCTCATCTCCTTCACCTGCCGCTTCCTCCTCAACTCCAGGTGGGTGTCCCACTGCTTGGGGCTGGACCCTGCGCCCTCTCCAGCTCTGGCACCAACGCTCTGTACCCCTCCCCAGGGTGACAGACGCTACCTTCAACTTCCTTCTGGTCTGGTATTACTGCACCCTGACCATCCGAGAGAGCATCCTCATCAACAACGGCTCCCGGTGGGTGAGGGCGGGGCTGACCCTGGCTCCTGAGGTGGGTGGGGGCACTGGAGCTACCCGAGAAAGTTGCGGGGATGCCGTGGCCCTCTGAGGAGGAGGAACTGGGGGTACTGCTTTCTTCCCATCTCAGCCCCATCCTTGTCCCCGAGCACCAATCCTGGGGGCTGAGGGGACAGGAGTGACAGTGGCTTCCTGATACAGGATCAAAGGCTGGTGGGTTTTCCATCATTACGTGTCTACGTTCCTGTCAGGAGTCATGTTGACATGGTGAGTGGCCCAGCTTGGCTCCCAGGGCCCCGGGGCGGGACACAGAGATGGCGCCCCCCAAGCTCTCCACCTTCCTCTTCCTTCTGCCTTAGGCCTGATGGCCTCATGTATCAGAAGTTCCGGAACCAGTTCCTGTCCTTCTCCATGTACCAGAGTGAGTGTCTCGGGGTCCCTGGTCGGCTCAGCACTCGTCGGCAGGGAGGGCTGGGGAGAGGACTCTGGGCTCCAGCCCAGTCCTGACGCCGCTCTCCCCAGGTTTTGTGCAGTTCCTGCAGTATTACTACCAGAGCGGCTGTCTGTACCGCCTGCGGGCCCTGGGCGAGAGGCACACCATGGACCTCACTGTGGGTGAGTCGGCATGGCCGCCCTCTAGGATCCTGACAAGGCTGCTGGGAAGGCGGAGTCCTCTCCTCTCGACCCGGGTCAGGTGACATCTGTCCTTGGTTGTTCTCTGCTCTGTCCCTCCTTCCCTGCAGAGGGCTTCCAGTCCTGGATGTGGCGGGGCCTCACCTTCTTGCTGCCCTTTCTTTTCTTTGGACAGGTAAGTTTCTGTGCATGTCCCCGTCCACGTGGCTGTCCATCCCCTGCTCTGGCTTGAGTAGCAACTGCATTCTACTGTGTAAACTCCCCTCTCTCCCAGTTCTGGCAGCTTTTTAACGCGCTGACGTTGTTCAGCCTGGCCCGGGACCCTGAGTGCAAGGAGTGGCAGGTGAGCCAGGGCCCCTGGAAAAGGCGCTGGGGGGGGGGAGGGGGGGCCATGGCCCGGCCCCTGTCCTAACCGAGATTCCTCCCCTAGGTGCTCATGTGCGGCCTCCCCTTCCTCCTCCTCTTCCTCGGCAATTTCTTCACCACCCTGCGGGTTGTGCACCAGAAATTCCACAGTCAGCGGCACGGGAACAAGAAAGAATGAGGCTGGGCCTTCCCCTGCCTGCAGGCTCGGCTCCCTATGGCACCCCGGCCCGGAAGGGCTTCTGTACCCCATATGTTGAGGGAGTGGGGGGGCTTCCCTCATCCGGGAGGGTCTCTTCTGCTCTCCCCTGGATTTTGTGGGCTCTGTGGGCCCCTAACGTTATGCTGGAGAGGAAGACCTGGGCCCCAGCCCTGCGGGGAGCTGGGGCCAGCGGCCTCAATAAAGGGAGAGGCACAGTGGTGGCTCCAGGTGTGTTCTCCATATGGCAGGGGCTCGGTGGCTCTCTGTGCCACCCTGGGTTCTTGGGGCTCCAGAGCTGTTGGTCTCTCTGCGTAGGTCTGACTAAACCCAGGTGGAGGCCCCAGATCCACTCAACGCAAATACAGAAAACAGAACTTTATTCTAAGGGCCAGAAGTTATTTAAAATTATTTACACTCATTGAAAATCACGTGGAAGGGGCAGGCCCCAGCTCAGCTGAGAGAGGAGCCCCTTTTGTATAGCCACTGGGCCTGAGGTGTTCACAAAGTGCGGGCCCGGTCACCCCTGGCCACGTGCCCTGGGGCTGGGGGGCTCTGGAGGGCACATCGTGGGCCCAGAACAGTCTGTCACTGGGCCTGCCTCTGGTGGCAAGGCCCAGCAGGAACTGCCCGGGAGACCAGCAGAAGGGAGTAAGGAAAGTGATTACATGGGCAGGCGAGTCTATAGAGTGAGAGGGTAGAGCAAGACTGGGCTGGGTCACTCCTAGCTCCACACGTCCAGCGAGTAGCGGCCCTTGGTCATCAGCTTCTTGATGTAGTCCACAGCCTGGGCATGCTCCATGGTCCCCAGCTCGGCCACGATGTCGTAGAACGTGTTCTGCACATCCCTCGCCATGTTCCGAGCATCCCTGGGGGCAGGAAGGAGGTGACACTGGGGGCTGGGCCAGGGGCCCCCAGACAGGCAGGCAGGGCCCCCCCTTCCACTGCCCTCACTCACCCGCAGACGTAGATGTGGGCGCCTCCCTCATGGATCAGCTTCCACAGGTGCTCCTTGTCCCTTTTCAGTAAGTGCTGCACATAGACCTGGGGGCGGAGGGTGCCCGTGAGGAGGGCTGGCCCACAGCCCCCCAGCCCCCTTGAGCGGCCTGCCCACGGCCTCACCTTGTGGGCCTGCTCCCGGGAGAAGGCCACGTTGAGCTGGGTGAGGGAGCCGTCCCTGTGGAACTGGGCCAGCTCGTCGCGGTACAGGTAGTCCTCATCCGACCGGCGGCAGCCGTAGTAGAGCAGCGTCTCCCCCACCTCCTTGCCTGGGGCGGCAGCAGCCAGGGTTAGTCGTGGACCTGGCCTGACCCCATGCCGTCCCTGTCCCCGCCTCCGGGCCCACACACTCACCCTGCTGCTGCAGCCAGGCCCGCTCCTGGATGAAGCCTATGAAGGGGGCAATCCCAGTGCCAGGGCCCACCATGATGACGGGCGTGGTGGCCTTGAATGGCAGGCGGAACTGGGACTTGCGCACAAACATGGGCACCAGGGCCCGGCGGCCATTCTCCTTGGCGGGCTCCTTGGCCCGCAGCCAGGTGGTGGCCACACCTTTGTTGATGCGGCCAGTCTTGGTTTCATACTCCACAGCCACGGCACAAATGTGCACGGAGTTGGGGTGGACCTGGTTAGGGGGTCAGGAGTGAGCGCAGTAGCCTTGCCCGAGGCCCCTTCCCTCTCCTGCCACCCTGTCCCCTGAGCTGCCTCGGCATGGGGGCCCTGCTCGGGACCTGTTCACACCCTCTGAGGCACCCAAGCCGCCTCAGCCCCTTCCCAGCAGCGTCCCTGATGGGTTCTGGGCACCGGGGCTGAGAGCAGTCTGCAGTCTTATAGTCCAGCCTACTGGATGCACAGCTCGGGGACTCTCGAGCTGACTGCCCAGGCATTTGGGGCAGAGCTGGGCCGTGGCTCAGGGCACCTGTGCACCCCGAAGGAGCCAATGCTGTGCCTTCCATGCGTGGGCCGGGCCTCGAGCCCAGGGCTGACAGCAGCGCCGGCACCCCCACCTTGGAGGACGAGGCGATGGAGTAGTAGCGGGCCTGGAGCCGAGGCAGCAGCTCACAAAGGTGGTCGATGGGGGGCCGCAGGGACGGGTAGTCCTGCAGGATGGCCAGGATGTGCCTCCGGGCCTCCACGACCCAGGTCAAGTACAACTCCTGAGGAAGACAGAATGCGGGTGAGACACGGGCGAGGGGACCCAGAGGCACAGGGGGCAACAGGGCTGAAGTTGGGCCCAAAACAGGCTTGGAGAATGGCTGGGAGCTGCAGCCCAGGGCTGCCGTGGTGGCACTCTGGGTTCTGGGGACGGGAGAGGTAGGCTTACCTTGCCCTCGCCTGAGGAGGAGGCCATTTTGCGCAACTGCTCCTGCTCGAAGGGCTCCGAGGCGTACTGGGCCAGCTCGTAGAGCACGTTGGTGCGCGGCGGGTTGGTGATATCCAGATAGTAGGTGAGGGCCGTCCGGTAGGAGGTGGGGCAGGGGAACGGGTGTTTCTTGTTGGACTCCTCTGCAGGGGGAGAGAAGGCAGGATTTGGGGTTAGTGGCCACCACCCCGGATGCGGTGGGCGAAGCCCCAGGTCTGCTCTGCAGGAAGCAGGTGGCCCAGCTGGCACTGGAAGCGAGGCCAGCTCTTTCTGGTGCTTCCTTGGCCCTGGGGCAAAGCTCAGGCCTGACAGGCAGTCCTCCACAGAGGCGGGCATTGCTGGGGGAGGCCTGGCGCTCACTGTCCCCACTCCAGGAGAAGCTGAGCCCCTGTGGGGGGCCCTTTGCCTGCCGAGAGCTGCTCAGAGGGCAGAAGAGGCAGAGCTCCCCAAGTGTGTCCTGTCTGACCGTGGGCTGGGCCTGGTCCACTGTGGGGGCCCCAGGCTCATGACTGTGAGATGCCAATACTGAGGCCCTCACCTCTGATGGCAGGTTCACCTCCAGTCATTTTTGTGCTTGGACACACGTGGAGGTCTATACATGGGGCACCCAGAGGCCGAGCTCTTGGAGAGGCGTCCTGTACACGCCAGCCACCGGCACAGGCCCAGTGCCAGCCCTTGCTGGGCCCGTCCACTGCCACCCACCAACAAGCCGGCTCTACTGAGCCCCTCCCCATAGTCAGGTTCCAGTGGAGCTGAGCCCGGGACCAAGCAAGACGCAGCTCCGTGTCTTAGAGGCGTGACTGTGGGCTTGTTTATTCCTGGGCACAAATGAGCCACCGGAGAACTGCCGAGGACACGTGGAGAGGGCCTGGCCTAGGACAGAGGCTCAGCGTTTAGGGGTCTGGGTCTGTCTGGAGGGGCTTGAACGTACTGAAGTATGACCTATGTAAAGTGTACAAGTCACACGTGTATGGCTTGGTGGATTTTCATGAACTGAACATGCTCACATAGCCAGCACCCAGACCAAGAAGCAGGTGTTCCCAGCACCCAGAACCCTCTTGAGCCGGGCCCAGAAGCCAGGGCTCAGGCCTTGCACTCCAGGGCACACAGGGTGTGTGAGCACATCCTTTTTAAAGCTGCGCGTCTGCCTCCGTGGCCCTCTCTCTGCAGCTCTTGGCAGTAGAGGACCCATAGGGGCTCCGATTCTCCTGGGGGAGAGTGAGCAGCACAGCCTCTCCTAGCAAGGTCCCGTCTTTGAAGGCACAAGGAACATGCCCCACAGAGTGAGAGAACGGCCCACATGTGTACCCTCTGGGCTTCCACGTCGTGTTTGCATGGCAAATTCTGATATAAGTCAGTCGCCTCGGGTGCCGGTCCTCTCAAGGGCTGCCTCTGGAACTGCTGAGGGAGCAGCCCAGGCTGGGATCCCCGAGGACCACAGTGAGTGAGGCAGGGCCAGGTGGAGCTGGGCCCCAGGTCAGTGGAGAGTGGGGGCCCCACAGGGCTCACAGAGCGGCTCAGGTGGCAGCCCTAAGCGGCCTGGGGAAGCCCTGTCCCATGCTAGTGCCTCCTGCACTCCAAGTGCCTGGGATGGACCTGAGGGCTGTCAGTTGCTCACTCTGATCCCCGGGTGTACAGGGGAGGAGCCGGAGGCCCTGGAGAGGGAGAGGGCAGCCCCGGGCCCTCAGTGGCTAGTCATGGTAGAGCCAGAACTAAGGACCAGGGCCCTGGTCTGCAATCCCCTCTTCTCCACAGGACATGGGGGCTGGGTGGGCAGTCGGGACTAGCTCTGTCTCTGGGCACCCCTCCCTCCCTCAAGGGGCTGCCAGTGCAGGGATGGGGGGACCCCAAGGGAGACAGGCAGACCTAACAGCTACCTTTGCCCCCTGCCCTCTGAGTTTGCTCCAGAACCATCACCGTTAGGGCCTCTAGGCACCAGAGCTCAGGCCTGAGCACGAAAGTTCAACCTCTGGGACTTGCCAAGGGCCATTCCTACCAGCTGCCTTGGGCCAGGCAGGGAGGGGGGTGCGCTGGATTCTAGGACTCACCATCGAGATTGTTTAGGGACATGATGACGTCCAGGTCGGCACCCAGGATCTCGCCAAGCTGGTTGACCAGGGCAGAGTCATTGGCCGGGTAAACGGCCACATGGTCCCCGGATTCATACCTGGGGGGAGATGTGAGGTTCAGGAGGGTGGAAGGGGCTCTGCACCCAGATCAGGAGGCTCGAGTGAAGGTTCAGGGGAGGGGTGGCAGCAGCTGGTACCTGATTTTGGAATCTGAGATGTCTAATTCCAGGTGCATGAGGTGGCGCTCAGTTCCCTGGTTCAGCTTCCGGTTGGTGGTGACTACGGCCAAGAATGGATTCTTGGCATCAAAGGGGCTGGGTGGGGAGGAAAGCAGCTCAGTGATTGGCCAGGTCTTGCATCTGAATCCCCCACCCCCAAGGGACCTTCAGCTTTCATGGAACATAGGAACCTCAGAGCTGGCGTTTAAGGGCTACGAAGAAACCTCGCCAATTATGTAAAGGGTTCTCCCAGTGCAATCCAGGGCAGTGCTCCCAGCAACACCACAAAGTGGGCAGAGCTAGGTTATCAGTGTCCCACTGACACATAAGGAAACAGGCTGGGCCCTAAAAACCTGGGAGACCTTCCACACTCTGTACCCACTGGTGGTCTGAGTGCAGAGGAGGACCGGGCCCTTGAAGACGGCTCCCAAGACAGAAGGTGTCTGGGGTCCCCAAGTGACGGTGTGGAGCAGAGCTCCCTCCCTTACGTGCCCTGGACTGTGACAGGAACAGGAGATAAACTTTTACTCCATAAGGTCACTGAATGTTGGCGCTTCCTGTCACAGGTA